AATGGCGCGGGTCCAGTGAAAATGGCGCGGGTCCAGCGAAAATGACGCGGGTAACAAGTTCCGAGGCGCGAGTAAAAAGTTCCGAGGCGCGGGTAACAAGTTCCGAGATCAATTGCCCGGTACTTTAATATATTAAAGATGGCGGCTATTTTGACTAAAAATTCTGCAATTATTCGGTCAAATATCGTCTCATTCTGTGGAAACTCTGCGAGCTTTAAATTTAAAACTAACAGATATCAATTAACTTAAGTAAATCACGTTTGGAGACGTTATACTCAGCATATTTTTAAACACAAAGAGAGTGGACAGTTGGAAATGGAATATTTGGAAGGAGTCCGCTCTCAGTATGTTTTTATTTATATTTAATATACTAATACCAGTCTGTTGATAATTACTGTAAGGTAAAAAGATAATTTGTCTAAATTCTCCATATAATTTTGGTTAGAAAACCCCCACAATATTCTTAGCATTTTTACGGCTTAAAAATTATAGTTATTTATACCGGTCTGTCCAGAAATCAGTATCAAAATTTAATAATTTATGAATTGCCTGATTTTATTCACATGTCATGACATTTTTTCTGATTTAATTATATATCAGTTTGACATATTTCTGAATACCGTACATTTTATAGCCTGGTCGCTGAACAGGGGCCCACAGCAGCCAAAAACCTGATAAACCAAAACCATGTGGCATGGTAACCCCCAACCTCGTTCCCAGGGCTTCAGTGTGAGGACGAGGCGAGACACGAGGAAGCCCTGGTCCGGTCCGGTCACGTGACGACAAAAAATGGCAGTATTTGACAGCTACTCGTCAAGGAGTGGCGAGATATTTCTTAATGAAATCAAATGAAATATGCAAGTCTTCGAAACAAATAAATAGCCAAAAGACTTCTCAATCGATATTTTTATGTGTAGAGCGAAGTTTGGCACGAATCAGCTAAAATGTCTGAAGATCCCGTCTATGTTTTCTAAGATATACCGATAATTCTGGAGATTTTCAACTTCAGGCAAAGCTGCATCCAAGTGCATCTAGGCGTCTCCATGCAAGTGGTGATTCACACGAAATTTCCTTTCTCTCGTCTTCAACAATATGGCTATTGCTATAATTAATATTTAGTTTAAATATGCTCTTATAGATCTGACTTAGTTCAATATAAATAAACACAAATATAAAACCTCGCGTAACCTGTTTAATTACGCTGTACAGGAATATACGGATTCGCTTGTTTCGCCGGACACCAACACTTGCCGTTCAGGAGCAATGCTTGCCTACAAATTTTATTCCCTTCACAATCTTTGTTTTATTTTATCGTAAAATCGCAATTTTCAAGTATTCGGGGGTATTCTGAAACTGTAAAACTGGGTGGCGTGCGAATCTGGTAGAGATTACATCGGCCTAGGCGTAACAGGGCCTAAATTAATTTAGTAGTTTCATTTAATTGTTTGTGTTGCTTTTATTTGTTAGTACAGAATATTGTAAATTAAAACTAGATATTACTACAATGCAATACGCGTAGTATTTCATCAGACATCTGCACTAATAAATACTGTACAAGGAAACTACACCTTAAATAATAGTATAGACGTTTCTTGTTTTGTCAGGAAACATCACAGCTCACTTCGACACGGCTTTTGAGTTTTGTAACCGGCCGAGACGAAAGTAAATCATGCAGTCGCCGGGAAAACGTCTTACTTTGAAAGATTATTTTACAAAACATACTCTTACACACAAGAATCATAAAAATACAAATGTTGAATTGTTATTGTCAACTGTCAAGTTCAGTTATTTTTAGACAATATGGTGTTAGCCAATCAGAATGCAAAATTGACCGGCCCGGACCAGGGCTTCCTCGTGTCTCGCCTCGTCCTCACACTGAAGCCCTGGGAACGAGGTTGGGTAACCCCAACAACCCTCGACAAAAACTTTGGAATACTTGAACCGAGTTGAACGCAAATTTAGGGGCCCTTGTATTTTTAAATTTCAATAGTAAAATCGTCAGGCATTTGACAGTCCGGAGGCAGAGTAAATTTCTAAAGTGGGGAGAAGTACATGCTAATATCTAATAAATTGAGTGTGAACCTGCCAACTAAAATAGTTAACTAAAATAATGTTTAGCAATGATGACAAATTATTGTTTAATAGCTACATGAAAATTGTGTTTATTTACACCTTGTTTTGACCAAATCCATCTCATTGGACTTCTATGCGGCTTGACAGGCTTTCAAGGTAGGTTCCTCCAATGTTTTTCGAATGTTTATATTGTAAACATTAAATTATTACTGTTAAACTGTTTATCATTGACATCATTGCAAAAATGATTAATTAACCCATTGAGTGGCGCGCAGGATTCTCCACTTGATGAGTAAAATCGTCTGGCGTCAGACAGAGTAAAATACTTGAGTAGGGCGCATCAGGGCACATTCATTGCCACTTAAAGGGTTAAATTAAAAGAAATGGGCCCCCTTCTGTGGGCCCCTGTTCAGCGACCAGGCTATAAAATGTACGGTATTCAGAAATATGTCAAACTGATCATATAATTAAATCAGGAAAAATGTCATGACATGTGAATAAAATCAGGCAATTCATAAATTATTAAATTTTGATACTGATTACTGGACCGTCTGGACAGATCGGTATAAATAACTATAATTTTTAAGCCGTAAAAAATGCTAAGAATATTGTGGGGGTTTTCTAACCAAAATTATATGGAGAATTTAGACAAATTATCTTTTTACCTTAATTATTAACAGACTAATATTAGTATATTAATAATAAAAATATACTGACAGTGACTCCTTCCAAATATTCCATTTCCAACTGTCCACTCACCACTCTCTTTGTGTTTAAAAATATGCTGAGTATAACGCCTCCAAACGTGATTTACTTAAATTAATTGATGTCTGTTAGTTTTAAGTTTAAAGCTCGCAGAGTTTCCACAAAATGAGACGATATTTGACCGAATAATTGCAGAATTTTTAGTCAAAATAGCCGCCATCTTTAATATATTAAAGTACCGGGCAATTGATCTCGGAACTTGTTACCCGCGCCTCGGAACTTTTTACTCGCGCCTCGAAACTTGTTACCCGCGCCATTTTCGTTGGACCCGCGCCATTTCTATTGACTCGCGACCCGCGCCATATAGACTATCCCGTTCCCAGATTTGGGGACCGCCTCTGATTGGACAGTGCTTTATTTGAATAATTTGTGACAAATGAAGCTATTTCATTGGTTAATTGATAATTAGCACGCGTTTAAAATAACAACACAAAAAATTTTAAAATTCCAAATCAAGAGTCATGATCAAGATTTCCATCGGGGCATACAAAGGTTTGAAAGACTTGAAGTACAATCTTTTGAGTTTAATTTTGTTCTGTATCGAAGTTTAAGAAAATCAAGATAAAATTCTAGTGTTTGGACACTCAGCGAACAATGCTGACAAATATACAGTATAAAATACAACAAACTATCGGACGGAAATTAATTTTTAAAATTGACAATTTAATAAATTGACAATCTGTTAATTTATATGTCCCGACTCCTCGCGATAAAGCATTTTGTTTACATGAAATGTGTTAACTTCGTCTTACTTGGCTAGTTAACTTTCCTATCCTATTGAGAGTAACATTGACAATGAGTAATATGCTTACAATCGATGCAGCGGAATTTATTAACGTGATCTACTTCATAATTCAATTGAATAAAGTAGGTTTTGAGCTTCTTTTTATAGGAATAAATTGAATGATTTTCAATATTTTTTAATTCGGAACGTAGAGAATTAAATAAACTTGCACCACTGAAGAAAATTTTGGATTTTGATTGCGTAGTCTTAACTGATGGAACTTTTAAGTCTGTAACAAACTATCGGACGGAAATTGATTTTTAAAATTGACAATTTAATAAATTGACAATCTGTTAATTTATATGTCCCGACTCCTCGCGATAAAGCATTTTGTTTACATGTAATGTGTTAACTTCGTCTTACTTGGCTAGTTAACTTTCAATTACTTTAAAATGCGCCTTTGAATAACTAGTTGCGTTTATATTTAATACTTTGTCTTTGTGAACAAATATACGCCATATACAGGGTGTCCCCCCAAAAAGTACCCTCTATAGAAATTATCCTATTGTTATAATTTGAGTGCCTGAGCACTACGCTGAACACAAGAGTGCGTAAACACAATTGAATTGAATTTTTAATTACCAGTCGCATAAAATTCTGTGCTTAAACAACAATAGGATAAATTTCTATAGAGGGTACTTTTTTGGGGACACACTGTATATGTACGCCAAGAACTGAGGTCGTACACCGGACGTGCCGGCAATGATCATCGTTCAGCATTGTTCGCACTCAAAACAAATCTCTTCATCGAGAAATATATGCAATATATTCCTGGGGCCGGTTGTATAAAAAAGTGATTAAAGTTAACTATAGTTAAGTGGAAACGTCATCCAATAAGAAGCGCCTATTAGAGAGTTAACCAGTATTTAACTACAAAATAGTGATTAATAAAAAAGTGATTAAGAGTTTTATACAACTGGCTCCAGGTGTATCATTTTTCAGATTGTATTTCAAGTCTTTCAAACCTTTGTATGCCCCAAATGAAATCTTGATTCTTGATTTGGAATTTTAAAATTTTTGTGTTGTTATTTTAAACGCATGCTAATTATCAATTAACCAATGAAATAGCTTCATTTGTCATGAATTATTCAAATGAAGCACTGTCCAGTCAGAGGAGGTCCCCAAATCTGGGAACTATCCGCTTGACCTGAACAAGGATTATGCATCCAACTCACAGACGTTCTCTCGCGCGCTTCGTCGAGAGTAACGGCTGTACACAGGCTATCAAATTCTGCCCGCTAATCTTTTTTAGGCGATGCTTGCGAAGAATGCTATAGAGGCTTTGCACGGTCACGTGACAAAAATCTAAAATCTTAAACGTTTAACATACATAGTTGCCCATTTTACATATTTTGTATATCCTTACTAGGGTTGGGATAAAACGCGGATGCGGACGGACGGACGGACACGCGGACGGACACGCGGACGGACGGACGGACGGACAAAAAGGATAAAATGCGGATGCGGACAAAAGGGATAAAATGCGGATGCGGACAAAAAGGATAAAATGCGGATGCGGACAAAAGGGATAAAATGCGGATGCGGACAAAAGGGATAAAATGCGGATGCGGACAAAAGGGATAAAATGCGGATGCGGACAAAAGGGATAAAATGCGGATGCGGACAAAAAGGATAAAATGCGGATGCGGACAAAAAGGATAAAATGCGGATGCGGACAAAAAGCCTTACCCGCGATATATTTTACGGAAATCCCAACGCAAAATATATACAACAGGTATTACGAATGTAATAATAATGTAGTTATGCAAGGCGGAGGCTTTGCAGTTAATAATTGCTCCAGGTATGAACCATGCTGAATAGTCAAATTAGCGAGCTAAAGAGTAAAGAATTCATTGACCGATGACAAATAGTGACAAAGCAAATATAGTGACTTTAAATAAATTTCTATAAATGTTTACAGACGTTTAGTCAGTTAGTGTTTACTGCTAGACGTACATCCAGGCTCTAAATAGTTACTTTCAAGATATAGGTATTTACCCTATAAATCACTACAAATGTTTAAGTTGTTAATACACAACCTCAAGAAATCGGATTGTGTGCAAGGCTGCGAAGGCTGATATTGTATTTTTTTAAATATTCTGGAGGGAACACAGTGAAGGTTAGTTTTTATAGTGAATACTGCAATACTGATTACTGTTGATTTGAAGCTCGATTTTGATATACGATGTCGGTGAAACGAGGACGAAAAATCAATGGACATTGGCGGGTTTTCAAGAAAATCATTAGTTTCAAACTAGGCCGTTTCAATTTTAATAAGTTTTCGTTCCAACTGTGCCTTTAAAGTTTTGTAACTATATATTTTGAAAGCTTCAAATGCGTGTGTTTACATGCGCAGCAAGGCGAGATTTTGAAAATGTAATAGATATTTTTGAATTTCCATGGCATATTAACAACAGTTTGTTGCGAACATTTTCTCGGCGAATTTTCTACTAACCTGAATATAAATCCAACTAAAATATAGGCATTTTCCCAAGCTTTCAAACCATCCGCGTTGGGGGTTTATGTCGTTAAATTTCGAATTAATATAATATAAGCGGTTGAACCTCGTGCCTAAAACCAGACATTATATTGTCCGACTAGAATGTGTATTCCGACGGCAATTTGTACACCCTCGTTTAGGCAACGAATTCTCGCCCAATATTCTCTTGCTACAATAGTATAGCTCGTACCAAAATGTAGCTGAATTCACCAGCTATCTGACAATATGTGTAAAATTATTGTAGCTGTAATATTCGCACAGATATAGTGGAATAAAAGTCGTATGTTTAATATGTTGCATTAAACTTTCTAATTATAATTCTGGTTTCAAGTTTTGTTTACATTGTGTGATTTTGAC